ACACCATCATGATATGTTAGTTGTAAGATATGAGGGTAATCAGAAAAGTTGCTGTAATCCATTTCTGAGTCACCAAAAGATGTGTAGAGGTAAAAATTTATATATTTATATTTCATTAGGTAATATCATTATTAATAAGTCATATAAGTTTTTTTGGTAATAAGATTTGTTCAATGTTTCATAGTTATTAATATAACAAATTGTATAGTAATATAATTACATAATATATATATAATTAATGTTATTTAAGTAATGTAATTACTTTCTTTTTAAGCACCTATACGTGTGATTACAATGCATACTGTGTTAGAAGCAGAAACCATAGGTTTAAATCTTATACCTGGAAAAAAACTGTGTCCAACCTGTCGAAGTAAAGTTATGACATGTTTATCAAAAAGTATAGGTAAAAATAAAAATGATGAAGATTTTGATATTGTTAATGAAAGATCCATTCAAAATAAAAAAGAAAGTGTAGACACACTTTGCATCTGCCGGAGTATCTCCAATTAAGGTCAAAGGATTGGACAAGTCAGGTAAAATCAGAGAAGGTAAACGAAAATTGACAGCATAAACAACCTCCATTAAAAAAAAGGTAGCCATTTCCCTTAATATATTAGAAGAAAGTTTTGAAGAACAGTCAAGTTTTAATAATGAGTATATGGAAAAAGTAAACTTGTTTGATAACATGATGGTATTGTTAACTAACAAAATTGCAGAGTCTACATCAACATCAAAAAAAGCACAACTTGCGACACTTGCTCCAACAGACTGGTCAATAAAAAAGGTATCTGAAACATTGCATGTAACAAACTATGTAGCTCGAACTGCATGTAAGTTAACATTTTGAAAAAGGTATTTTAACCATGCCTAATCCTAAATTAGGAAAAGCTCTTCCTGATGTAACAGTTCAACTGGTCAAGACTTTTTACGAAGACGATGAACATAGCCGTATAATGCCTGGTAAAAAGGACTATGTAAGCATAAAAAAAAATGTCCACATGCAAAAACATTTGCTCTTATGTAATTTAAAGGAATTGCTTGTTGCCGTTAAAACCAAGAACCCAGAAATAAAAATAGGATTTTCAAGGTTTTGCACCTTGCGACATAAAAATGGTGTATTACTGTTGGTGCCTCAGGAACACATTCTGTATGCGTCTGTGCTATTCATCAGAATTTGAAACTGCTTTTACATCCTCTTGGTGTGACATACAAAGAATTGTTACCTTATATTGTCTGTGATATAACTAATAAAGACTGTATGATGAGGAAATGTGAAAAATGCCCAGCAACTAGGAATGTATTGGTTGAAAAACTTTATGATATATTTGGAGAATTTAAAGATGATGATGAGATTGAATTTGATCAATGGACAACAACAGATAGGTCAAACTTGACACATAATAAAGAGCCAGTGTTTGAATACATTGAACTAGTATGTAGAAAACTGGAAAAACTTGCACCACATTTGTATTTAGCAAAGAGTCAAGCATTATACCTGAGATCAAGAAAGGAAGATATGAATGAGGTAACAGCATTATTTCTGGGTGATTTTTCAAAAAACTATAAATTTGTAGTTCAGGATGAAGTGCAAAGCTTTCATTAGACAAATTTAAAATGTACACTTCATCCAGTGATTATTTATTTCAAAAAAGAAGACATTCTCAAGCACAAATCCTATTGTATTATTTCGGATGATATGATCCATGATGTGAACATGGTTTATAAAATAAATTTCATATATACTTCATCAGAAGATTTAGCTTTGATGAGAACCGCTCTTAAAGAACGATTGGATACTGCTAATACAATACCTGGAACACGTAGTTACTATCAGTTTGTACCACTTGGCCATTAAAAGGTAAATTATTATTTTTCAATTATACCTTTTACCATATTTTAAAACACACGCATAACTTTTATTGATAAACTCAAATAGATATTAGATTTTTGCAGAATCATTATCAAAAATATTTGTATTTTATTTTATTTCCTCTGCATTTGCTATCTATGCATTTAATAAAACATGTTTGATAAGTAAAACGGAATAATCGCATATGTTACTATTTTGTTTAGGTAGGCACTAAGCTATGCAGTGTTGATGAAGATTTAATTCATGACTTTGGAAATATCCAGATAACAACTGTAAACCTAGTACCACGTGATTATGCCTGTGTTTCCTATGAGCAAAAGTGGTGGATAGGAGTCATTGAAGATATTAATTTAGAAGAAAAAGATGTGCTTGTAATATTTATGTGTCTTAATGGTCCTGCACGGTCGTTTAAATGGCCACCAAAGGAAAGTTAATGCTGGATTCCTGATGTCCACATTATTTGCAAAGTTGAGGTACCAATAACAAAAACAGGACTTTGCTACTAATTAGCCAAAGAAGACTTAAAAAAAATTATTTTCCAAGGAAGTAGAGATTTTTATATCTATGAGTCTATTGTGTCTTATCCATTCTTTTTTTAAATATTATGTTTTGTGAACCAACTTGTAAATAATGTGAATGTAAAGCATATATAAAATCACTAAAGTTTAGTATTTTAAAAAAAAAATTTATATACGTTTTAATTTTGTTGTAAATATCATATGAAAATGAAAAAGATAATAAAGTCACTAAATCTTTAGTTTCTAATTTGATTGATTGGTAAAAAGAGGGGTTATATTAAGTGTCTAATTTTAAAAAAATTAAAAATTTTGTGTCTATATCAAACATCAATAATTCCTCAAGTAAATATAAGGCCAAAACAAAAGTGGTTCGAAAAGTAGGGGTTGATCTAATTTTTAAGAAAATCAAAATTAAATTTTTTTTATATCAGTCGGACTTTTTTTATAGCTATAATTGTCAATGCCCTTTTTTCCCAGCATTATAAAGTGTATTTTATGGATCTTAAAATAAGCTACATTCCCTTGTTTTTTGACATATAAAAAACTATATTTTTTGGATTTAACAGGTTTTAAACTCTTTTGGTACAAAGTTTCAAAATTGTGGCATCACTACAAGCACCATATTAAGGTGAAAGTAAACGGAATGATTGTCGGCACTTTTCCCCCTCAGTTTTTAGTCAAAATCAAGGAAACTTCAAATTGCTGTAAATTATAAACGGTAAGAAATTTTATGAAAAAAAATTACAATCTTTCCTAACATATGTCTATAAACATTTGTGCCAAGTTTCAAAAATTTTGGTGATATAGGGTGCAGATTTGTGTTTATTTGTGTTTTTTGAGAAATTTTTACCCAGGGAAAAAAGAAAGTTTTTTTTTCTTAAATAGTAAATTTTTTTAATGTTTTGAATTATATATTTTTTCTTGAAAATAGTTTTAAAAGTAGAAACATTTTATTGTAAACATCAAAGCAGTGATTGCAAATTGCAAGTTAAAATAAAAATTATAAAAATTTTAAATTAAATTTTATAAATTATTTTACTTCTGTTCAAAAAAAAAATTTTCTACAAAAATAATTTAAGCATATTCTTATACTTAATATAATTCGATTTATTAAACAAAATTTTTTGTCTAATTTTTTTTTGGAAAACAATTAGCATAAAAAAAATTGAATGAAAACATCAGTTTAAAAACCATTTGAATGAAAAACTTAATTATACTTAAATTTTTAATCGAACGCTTGACCAGGAAACAATAATTTATAAAAGACGTGGTATCTAATGTTTTTATGCTTTGATCTTACTTGTTTGGTCCATATATTATAAACTCGTATAGGTCTATAGGCGCAAATATGAAGTTGTGTTTTAGTTTATTAACTAGATCAATTTTATTTATTTGCTTCCTTTTATTTTAAACGCGTTTTATTTTATAAATTGTACAAATCAACACAAAACAGCGTCATGAATTTGTTTTACATTAACCCAAGCTCTTTATATTTTTAAAACAACTTTGCAGTTTGTTTTATTGTTGTTTTATAGCTTTTAACAATTAAATACTTTTTAAAATTAACATGTGTTTTAACGTTAGCACGAACATATTAAATAGTTTTCTTTGACTAATTAAAGTGGTTTAGATATTGCAATGTTGTTTTTTCTCTTACTTTTTTACTTTTACTTTTTTAAGTATAATGATACTTATATATACTTCTATATTTCTTTAAGTATATATTTTACTAAAGTATATACTTAAAGAAATATCTTAGTAGTATTAAAAACGTTATTGCTTATTACAACTGCAACTTAAACTTTAAGTTATAACTTAAGTTGTAAATAATAACAGTAACTTACGCTATTTTAAACTCTGCCAAACAAGATAATTATAAGATTATATTTCAATATGAGTGATAATATATTATAAGTAGAACAATTAGGTACAAAAGTTACAATTATATACTAACGCAACTTCCCTCACCCCTCCCTCCCTATTACCGCAAAAAAGCGCAAGGTTTAAGGGGAAGGGGGGGGGGGAGGGTGGAAATTTTTTTTTTTTCGCAGTTAGATTTTTTTGCGTAAATTCGAGCCCTGTATGTATATATAATATATATATATATATATATATATATATATATATATATATATATATATATATGCCAAAAGTATATATATATGCCAACAAGCACCCATCATTTTGATACCAAAAAGTGCAAAAAAAACATTTTAAAGTATGTTTTTTTTTGTTTTTTTTAATAAAAAAAAACAGTCTAGCTAAATTTAAAGCACACTGGTGTATTTAATCAATCAATCATTCCAGATCCAGAAAATTCAAAAGAAAAATTTCTTTGACTCATAAACTAACCAATTCTTTTTTCTTTTCATTTTAATTGTCACATATATTTTATGTTCAAACTTTTTTGAACTTTTGTTTTTCGTTTTTTTTTCAGAACAAAGATTTTTGATACTTCTGTAGATATCATGATTAGTCTTTTAAAATGATTCGTCTGTCATAAATTGTACTAAACAATATACTTGGATTATTAAAATTTTTTTAGCATCTACTTTTAATAATATGAAGTTTTGCATTATTAATACAATTAAAAAAACAAACAAAAAATTAACCTTTATTTTTCAGGTCATCTGCTAAGAGTTTATCTCTGAGTACCTTACTTGAGTCCTAAACAGAACAAGTTTTTTTATAAGTTATACCCTTAAACATAATTATGTACATATGCATTTGTGCATTTTTAATTATTAAAAAAAAAAATTTTTTTGAATGAATAATAAAGATCAATAAAATCACACTTTACTCTTTATATTCTATTTTTGAATCTTGAATCTATTAAAAAAAAAAGTAATTTTCTTGAATTTGTCTGCTGCACTGTTTATACCAGGGAAAATGAAACTTTTGCAATAAGCATGTAAATTTTGTTACATTGCATCTGAAAAGTCAAAGATTTCTATTAGCATTAAATATAGGACTAAAACTATTTATCATAACGTTTTAAAAGTAAGAACATGCTGCTTATTACAAAAAAAAAAAAAAAAAATTATTTACTTTAAAATTCCTTTTTAAAGTAAAGTGATTTTAATACTCATTCAATCAAATAAGTAAAATTATTAGTGAAAAATCATCAGAATAAAAAAAAAAGTCAGAAGGGATCAAGTTAAAGTCTAAGGTAATCAAATAATAACATGGATGAGCCTGGCAAGAGAAAGGCAAATTTAACCTAAATGTTGTTATGTCCTTGCTTAAGTTGACAACATTTTGGAAAATTTATGAGCAACTGGAAAGTTGCTCATAAATTTTCCAAAATGTTGTCAGGCAATTAGTGAGCATGGTTGATTCAACCGCAAATGATTTGCACAAAGTCAACTTGTAAGTCAACTCAATTTTGTTGTTTGGCATGTAATCTTTAATAGAAAACCAGTTTAACAACTTTTATGATTCATTCTGATGAGAAGTCACGGGGTAACAGATATGCTTCATTTTGATGTCAAAAAGACATCAGAGATCCACAACATCAACACCACTTATTACCGCGGGCAGTCTTACGCTATTACCTCCAATATGTCTGGGGTTTACACTGGGTTGCAAGCCCATATCAAGAAGTTAAACCCACTAGCTAATCGAGTTGTTCTTGCAGCAACTAAGTCTTGTGTGGCATCTTTTATTGGCTATCTTTAACAGCTATATAACTTTTTATCTGCCTCAATGCATTACTGGGAAGTCTTGAAATCAAAATTGGATAAAGGTGTAAAGGCTTCAAAAAGCCTCTCATAGACTAGATTGTCTGCACATGTAGATGCGTGTTCTGTTCTTCAAAAGGGTTATTCTACTTACAGGGTATAATTATCAGTATCAGTTTTTTATTAGTTATTAGTTGTCGATAGTACTTATATATTTGTATATATGAAATATGCGTTTAAACTCCAAGGTAACTTTAAAAGAACTGAACAATAACAAAATTTGTGTTTAAACTCCAAGGTAACTTTAAAAGAACTGAACAAAGACAAAGTATGTGTTTAAACTCCAAGGTAACTTTAAAAGAACTGAACAATGACAAAATGTAACAGATGAATACGATAGTAGACTTTTTATGAAAATGGATCAGCTGGAGACAACCATCATGATTGCTATCTTGAGCACAATTATCGATAGGTTCAACAAAGTGAACAAAATGCTTTAAGCCATTGAAATTGACTTAACAGCGGTGAATGAACTGTATAGATTTCTGTCTATTTTCTAGAGGTTAGATCCAGCTATGTATGTATGAGGTTAATAACATCATGGATTGACTTTTAGCTGAGCTTGAGAGGTAAAATCAAGTTTATGGTCTACTCATCTCTTGTTTTGGATTTCTTGTCTGATATTCTTTTCAGATATGGATTTTGTTGCAATCACATCGCACACATAAGAATTTTTAAAAATCTACACAAATGATGCATTTATTCCCAATTCAATTGCAATTGGTACCAGCGAAATTAGAAAACTAAATCATTTAGATTCAATTTTGATTATTTAACCAAAGAAATTTGTATCCACATTCCCTTATGTTGACATTGTTCTAAGGATGTTTCTTTTTGCTGCTTTTTTAAATCGTATTTGAGAAAGATCCTTTTCAAAGAGGGAAAAATTGCCAAAGGCCTAAAAGTAGACACATCAACATGTAAGATGTGGTCCATCATTTTGTTGATTTAAAAAGCAGCAGAAACATATCAAACTAATTTCTCAACTTACGAATGTAAAAATGTGACCTAGATGAAAACTATGTATACTTAACAAGGTTCGAGTTAAGTGATTAAGTGAATTGCAATATCTTGAAATGTTTCTGGTCTTTAAATTTTAAGCTTTTTAAAAACTGTAAACTCTGCTTTTACAGCAAAATTCAATAGCTGTTATTCAATAAAAAACATTTATAATGATCTTGAATTATGATGTTTAACTTTATTATAAAACCGTATTATTACTAATATTTTTATTATTATTAATTTACTTTTATTAAAAATTATAATTGAAACTTTAATATTTTAATTCATTTTACAAACCATTACAAAAAAATAGAAAAATAAAGCATACAGTACAATGTAATATTTAAAAATAACCACAAATCACAACAGTCTAAAGGAATTTAGTGGTAATCAAATGTTTTAAATAATAGAAATCGCAAAATAATATATAAAATACTTTTATTTAAATAGTTATTTGCTATTTTTTTCTAATTTAAATGGTTTTAACTCTTTAGGAGAAATGAAAATTAAAGCAGAGGAGTTTATTTTTATAACTACTAGATAAAAACTAACACAAAATCTTTAACAGAAACAGAAACGTAAGCTACAGATGTACAATTATAAAAAACCATAACAAAAAGAAAAATCTTTCTTCTTAAAATCAAAAATAAAATCCTAAATGCAATTGTTGAAACAAGGCAGAATGCCTTAAAAATAAAAATCCCTTAAATATGGGTTAATTTACTTTTTGGGCTAAACTCACATTAAACCATTAAGATATATGAAACTATTTCATAAAAATTAACAAAACTTAAAAATAAACTATTAATAAAATTACCCTTAATGAAATTATATAAAATAAAAATATCACAACTTCTATTATAAAGAGAAGTATACTTTATATGTATACTTTACAATGTAAGTATATATATATATATATATATATATATATATATATATATATATATATATATATATATATATATATATATATATATATATATATATATATATATATATATATATATATATATATAAATTTACACTTTAGCGTAGTTTTAAAAACAACTTTTTTTAATCTATGTCTTTAATAAAAAAAAATTTTCACTCTCTTAAAGGGAACACAAAATGCCATGACATTTTGTGTTCATATTAAAAAGAATGTTTTAAAAAAATGTTTGGCATGAATTTTTTTGAGTAAAAAAATAATAATAAAGGTATACCAAGAGAAACAAACTTTGTTGTTTTACTCGAAGCTCACTATCTCCATTTTAGCCAGTTCCTCAAAGACTTTATAATTTATTCAAGCATGTTTAATTCCAAAGACTTTCAGTATAATATACTTTGATAAGAAATCTAAAAATTCTTTATTTTTTTATGATTTTTGAAAATGTTTCAAAAATGTGTTAAATGAAGTATAAGGTAATAAAGCAAGAAATTGCTTTTAAAGATTGTATACATCAAAAGATATTTATTTAAATTAACAAAACATATTATATTGTTAAAAAGTGTATTAGATGAAAAAATTATCATAGAATTTTAAATAAAACTTTAATTTATTTGAAAAGTATTTTTTTTAATGGTGAATGTACCTTTTTTTATACAACTTGTATTCTCAAATTTATAAACAACGACAACAACAAATGCGTTTCAATAAACTATTTTTAAAATTCTTTTTGAAAAAAAATACTTTAAATAAAATAAAGTTATATTTTATAGTTCACCATGTTGGTTTGAAAAGGTTATAAAGTTAATTTTTTATATTAGGAGAATTTAAACAATAAATCTTTTATTTTTTTTAAATGCTGAATTAAAATTATTTATACCATTATTTTTTTTATTTGTTTATGTATTCTTTTTTTGATTGATATATAAAAATAAGTAAATAAAAAATAATTATAATTATTAAATAATTAATTAAATAATTAATTAAATATTTTTATTTAGACATTAAAAAAAATATATATATATATATAAATTCTAATATTCTAATATAAAAAAAATCAGTTAAAATCTTATCAAACTAACGCGACAAGTTATTCAATAATAGAATATGTTTTTTAACGCTCGCTACAACACCTTGACAATTATAATCCCCATCGGAGCGGTAGTAGCGCAGTGGTCAGCGCGCTTGCCTCAGAAGCTAGAGATACGTGGTTCAATGCCACGTTTGGGCAAGTTTTAAAAAATTAGTAAGGAAGGAGACGTAAACTTCCTTTCAAATGCTCTTCTGCTGTGCCCTGTAATAAGACTGTAAGGACTTCTTAGGGCACCTTAAATAAAATAAAAATAATATAAAATCTGTCTCAAATTATTGCCATAAAACATTAATTATTGCTTTATTTAATAAAAAACTGTATGTAAATTTGTTAAGTGTAAATTCTATAAATATTTTTTAACTAAAAATTAAAGAATTCTGCAATTATCTCTAATAAATGATATCGTTTACCAAAATTATTTATTAATTAAAAACTTAAGAATTTCTAAAATGTCATTTCAATGAACAAGAACATCATAGCGCTAAATTAGAAAAAAAGTTCACATTGTTTACATAAAAAGAAAAAGATTTATATATTTATTATATTTAAGAGTGTATCATAAAAATTATATTTGGTTATCGCGCTCTGTAAAAAAATATTTTTGTTTTTATTTGGTTATCGGGCTCTGTAAAAAAATATTTTTGTTTTTATTTGGTTATCACGCTCTGTAAAAAAGTATTTTTGTTTTTATTTGGTTATCGCGCTCTGTAAAAAAATATTTTTGTTTTTATTTGATTACCGCGCTCTGTAAAAAATATTTTTGTTTTTATTTGGTTATCGCGCTCTGTAAAAAAATATTTTTGTTTTTTTAAAATTTATAGAATAGTCATACGACTGATGATAAACGGTTATTTAAAAAAAATAAAATAAAAACAAACAATATTGATTCACAAAAAACAAATTTGATTTTTCAAAAAAAAAAAAAATTCTACAATGACATCATTTTCAATACTGAAACTCGTTGGAATTAAATGTGCTTGAATAGATTATAAAGTCTGTAGATTGCTCAAGATTACCAAAGTCTTTCTTGGTATATGATTATTATTTTGTTTTACTAAAAAAATTCAGTTTTTTTAAACATTCTCTTTAATATGAACACAACTATTCTTGGCACTTACTTTGGGATCCCATTAATGGACAACATTCTTTTATTAATTTCTTATTGAATCAAATGGGATTTCTTCTGTATGCAGACTGTTCCATTAACTCTTCAGGTTTTATTATTTTTGAGGTAGATGGTGCGCCATTTAATTTGTATTAAAATGTGGACAATTTAATACACTTTATTAAATCTCTTCTTAACTTACGAGTTTCTAGTTTCTATTATTAAAAAAAAAAAATACTTTTAATAACAATTATCAATATTACCTTTTCAGTAGCTGCGCTAAAAACATTTAACAAATTTATATCATGTTCAGGTTGAAACCCTTCCAGTCCATATGCTGATTCAATGCATTGAATTGCAACTAAAATAATTGTAAAAAAAAATGTTGCAACATATAATTAATATTTTTAAATTTTAAATTTAAAAAATGCTTTTGAATTAACAATTTAAAAAAATAATTTATTTCTGTAAACTTGTTTTAACTTTTTAATTAACTTAATTATAGGTATTTATAATCAATTTTATTTATAGTTATTTATAATCAAAACATTAACTAAAAAAAAAACATCTAGTTTTTTAATCTAATAAAAATTTTTTAGTTATTCCATAGGAAAGTGGGACAAATTTTCCATGTATGAATGTATCAGACTTTTACTGTGAAATTTTTTTGTTGAAATGGGCAACTAAAATTATGAATTAAATTAATATAATATAATAATTAATAATATAATAAATTAATATAATAAATTAATATAATAAATTAATATAATAAATTAATATAATAAATTAATATAATAATTAAATAAATTAAAGTTTTGAAGATGAGGAAGACATAATTTCCATAAAAACAATGAGAACAAAATCAAAATCTTGATTGTATATCACCCAAAATATTTACAAAGTTTTTAAAGTCTTGTTTTGTAAAAAAAGATAATCTCAAATAAAATTTTCTAAATACTTTTAGTCAGCATTTTTTGAACTTTTTACAATCATTACTTACTTTTTTAGAGATTTTTTACTTGAGTTTTAACTTTTTAGCTACAGCATTAAAGAAACTTAAAAATTGAACTTTTGGCAAACTATTTGTTGTTATCTGTTATTTATGGCTTTTTTTATTGTATATGTTTGAGAAAATAGTTGTGGAAAAATAGAGAAGAACCTTAACTATCTTATTAGTATGCTTGAGAAGTTTTAGTCAGCATTTTTTGAACTTTTTACAATCATTACTTACTTTTTTAGAGATTTTTTACTTGAGTTTTAACTTTTTAGCTACAGCATTAAAGAAACTTAAAAATTGAACTTTTGTTTTTTGAAAAGTTTAAAATATGTCAATCAAACAAGCCAAGGAAACAAATAATTTTAAAAAAATATATTTTTTTACTGTTTTTTATGTTGTTTCTATATTTATATATAGATTTTTACTCTGGTTGCTTACTATCCGTTGCTAACTTTTTTTATCTGTGAGAAATTTTCATTTAAATAACGGTTGTTGTCAATAGTACTATATTTTAAAATTACAGATAAAACAGATACAAATTTATGTGCATGATTTTTTGTATTTAGCCATTAACTATTTTAAATAAATATAAAAAAAAGCATAAATTCTACATTTGAATAAAAAACTTTAAAAGAGATCTAACAACAATAATTATTAAGACTAAATGGTTTCACTACACTTTTTCAAGATGTAATTGAGAACATAAAAGTTGTATTTAAGAAATCGCAATAAGTAATTGAAAAACACAACATATAATTTAAATATCATGATATGTAATTAAGAAACACAACATACAGTGGTGTACCCTCCGGTTTTTCCCAGTCACCCTGCGGGTGACTGAAATAGTTTTTATTTCTCATTTGAGTCGCCCGCTATGATAATAAGTAGTCCAGTATAACAGTTTTTTTTTTGTATTTTTCTCGGGTGAAAATACTGAAGAAAAAATTTTAATGCCCGGCTACTAAAATATGTCTAATAAGAAACAATTTAATTAAAAGTAAATTAATTATTGAAAAATTGATTTTAGCATTACTCTTCTTTCCTGCCATACAGGAAAAAAGATTAATAATGAAAATTTCAAAAGGTGCAAACATACATTTGATTGAAGCTATATCAACAACAAATGTTGTCATGATGGAAACTTGCAGAGGATCATTTAATGCAGATTTTTGTAACGAGTAGATGTCGGTTGTTTCACTAGTGGGTTACACCTGGGAATCTTTTTGAAGATTTGGTTATTGTAACAGACAATGCTCCATGTCACACTCATTTGGAAAGGGTATCTAAAAATCTGCCAGCTCAGTCGTAACATTTAGGACCTTACAGTCCAATGATAACAATCAACAGTGGAAACAACCTGGTCTAAAACTAAAAGTAATGTTAAAAATACGATTCGAATTCTATCTGTATTCAGTGGTAGGATTGTGGAACAAAGAATGCAATAATTGGAAAGAATTGGTGCTGCAACAAAAAATACAATAAAAGAAGGTGATTGTGCACATGCTGCTCAACATACTATAAAGCATTATGCAACAATTTTAAATATTGATGATGTCCAAGTTGGTGTTTAACTGAATATTACAATAATTTTTAATGATATTGTTTAAATTCAATTTAAACTTAGATATTTTTTTATAAATAAATTATTTGTTATATTTATTCATATGACTTCTTAAATAAATTTTTACACATAACACATAATACCAACTTTAACTCAGCCTTGATATTTACATTGTTAGAAATTAAATTATGTCATTAGCATATTTTAAAGTATTGCGTTGTAATTAAATTTAATTGTAAATCATTTTAAAAATCTTAAACAAATATAACAAAAATTACTGATAAAATCTAAATTCGGTACTTGAAAAAGATTGTTTCCTTATAATTTATTTCTTATATTTAAATAATCATTTATTTGTTTACAATTGATTTATTTTTTTACATTTTTGATGAACTATTGAACTACTATTAAACTAAAAAAAATTAACAATAAAGATTAAAAACAATTTAAAAATAGATTTTATTGGTACCAGTAAAATATTCATAAACATAATTTATTCATAAATAAATTACACTAAAAAAACTTTAACATTGAGTTTGAGAAAAGTTTAACATTAATTTGAGAAAAGAATTCTCTTTAACAAAAATACTTCTTTTTCTTTTTTTCAAAGTTTTTTTATTTGCTTTCACAATTTTTATTCTATGATGGAGAGACAATTTTATGTTATGATTTTTAATTTTTAAAATCATATTTAATTTTAAGTCTTCATAAAAAAAAAAAAAAAAAAAAAAATATATATATATATATATATATATATATATATATATATATATATATATATATATATATATATATATATATATATATATAAAATAATCAATTTCTTTTTAAAAAAAAAAAACACGCTATTATGGTTAAATGCTTTATTATATAACCTAATATTTTCTGAATTAACGTCACATTATATTAATACATTCATCACATATGTTATTATATGACATATGCCACATATGATATTAAATATATTCTAAAATAAAAAAGTTTTCTCTTGACCTAAAATTGCTGAATGCTTAAGATATTGCCATTTCGTGCGTAAAATGTGAGCTACCTAACGCTTCTTAACAAAGCCTGTAATCACATTGAAAGTCAATTATATCTTTATGAAAGTACTTGACTTGCTCCTCCAATGTTCTAGTATTATTTGAGATGAGTATTAAAAATATGGAGTTTAAGTGACAATCTGAATTCTATTGTGCCATAATTCTTTATGAGAATCTTCTTGACCTGACTAAGATAATATTTCTAATCTAAACGAAGGAAACAAACTTTGTAAAATGCTTTGGAGGCTTGTGAGTTTTTTGAAGCCAATAACTTCCTGTCCATATTTGTCTATTTGGAAATGTAGAGAGTTAACCATTAGAATAGATGACAGACCTTGTTTAAAATAAAAATGGCATAGCACATTAGCTCTTTGCAATTTTGACATCATAAAGTTATCTTTATTTATTTATTTTTTATTTACAGACATTAACTTTTTTTTTCAAACTACGAAATGAAATAAATTAAAGCAAAACAAGTTAATAAGAAAAACACATCTGGAAGTGTTATTTTGTAAATGTACATATTGTGAAATGCATATTTTTTTTTTTGCTTTTTAAATATTAAATAGTTATTATTTATAATATTACATAATTATAAATTCTTTATTATTATTTAACAGAAATTAATTTCTTTCTTTTCTTGATATTTTTATAAATGAAATAAAGATGTTTTTAAAAGAATTTTTTATTATTATTCCTTAAAACTGCGGATTTGCAAATAATAATGATTTTTTACTTTCAAAAAGTTAAACAAAATTAAAAACTATTACAAACAAAAAGTATTACTAATTACAAAAAAAAAAAAAAACTCAAGTTATATAGTTTACCAGCGCTTTTTTTTGTGACTAACAAAGATATAAGTTTTAAAGTACCATTTCTTAAAAAATATATACAGTTGTGCGATCACTTGCCGATCTTTGACAAAAAAGTTAAACTAACGCTTTATACACATTTTTAATGCATTCGATAATTGACCACGGAAATAATATTTAGTTGCGATCGCACCTGCTTTACCGACCAAGCCTGGTGTTATAACATGTTTACAAGGAATTTAAACAACTTTTTTAATCAAAAGTTTTTTTAAACTATGATAAAAATGTCTGCTTTCATTTTTTTGATATCACACAATCAGTTAATTATATAAAGTTGATGTAACTATTATAAAATACAATTTTTCTAAACTATTATTTTTTGAAAAATAAAACTTATAGGTATAAACAAAGGCATAACAAGAGCTATATTGCTTAAGTGTAAATACTTGTAATCAGGGATGCAGAGTCCCAAAAAGGACTCCGGATTTGAAAGTCACAAAAAGGTTACTTTATCCTAGTTTTTGGTAACCAGGAGCTCTGAAAATATAAATAAGTTTATGGACTACTAATAGGAAAAAAATTAATACTTTTATGTTAGAGGAACAATCATTTTTTGAACCCGGAGTCCTTAGGTATAATGGTGGCAAAGACTCCAGGACTCCGGGCTTAAAAACAATAAGTTTCAAGTCATTAAATCTCATGAATTTTTTTCTTATAGCGGATCATAAGTCAACAAACATGTTTAGAGCTTCTGGACACTACAGACTTTGAAAAAGTAAAAATGCAAAGCCGGAGTCCTTTAGGGACTCTGCATCCCTGCTTGTAATAATTAATTAAATAAAAAACTTCTTCTATATATATAACTCTGTTATTAATTTGTTAATACAGTATATGCAGGGAGTTTAAATACCCTCGTTATTAAATATATTTATACCTGATAACATTATCAAG